ACAAGCTCAGAGGTGGGTCCTCCAGCCCAGCCTCCTGAGAGTCCTGGAGGAGATATGCTGGGCTGAGACCTCACCTAATCACACACACCTGCTACGTAGTGAGAGGTGAATTAGGGGGATGCTGCCACACAGCCAGGGACAACTAGAGAGCCTGTGCCTCTTCATACACACAGGTCCTGGAGGGCAGGGCCCCATGGCGGTCACTTTAAGGGTCACATCCAGGACCCACATGGTCCTTGCCTGGGGCGAGTGCTCCGGCATAGTATTTAGGGAAAAGATGAGAGGAGGTCTGAGCCCCTCCACACCCCTGAGCGGCTCACACTGTGGGCAGGGATACTAGTGATGGAGGTCCCTGGGTGGAAGGCAGGGCAAATAGACCATGACCCTGGGCACTCTTTCCTGGCTGCACTTTCTTCATTGGCACTTCTGCCCCCTGGTGGCCGGCGCTAGCACTGCAGCCCAGGCAAGAAACCCAGAAAACAAAACACACACCTTTGTTTGGATGTTGTCAAGGCAGCAGCTCTCCCAGGCCCCAGGAGGCAAAGGAGCAGGACCCAAGGCTCCAAGAGGAACAGGAAGGACCTCAGCAGCCTCACTTGCTCCCCTGTGTCCCTCTGCTGGCCCGAGGTGGCACGCTCACTCAGGAGGCCTCCTCACCCAGCTAGGACAGTGACCCTGCCCACTTCCAAAGGAGGACCCCAGGCTCCAACAGGGACAGTCTCTTCCCTGGACCTGAGATGCTGGTCCAGTGTGGGGCAACACTCTGCATGACCCCTACTGTCCTCAGTCCTCCAAGGCCCCCGCCTACTGTGTTCAGAAGGACCTCTAGAAAGGACAAAGCATTTTCCAAAGGGCTTGGTGGACAGTGGGTCACTGATGGAGAACTAATGCCATCAGAAACTTCTGGGAGTCTGTGGGACCCTGGAGTCACAAAGGCCAACCACCCCAATTTTTAAAGGGGAAACTAAGACCTCCCCTGTGGCCACCTCCACACCAGGGAAGGACTGCTTAGCCTAATTCAAGGTGTCCAGAGTAGTGGACACAGGACCCTGGCCCTGTCCTCTCCAGGCTGCCCTGGGAATGTCCCATGCCAGGCATACTGGGGAATCTTTGAGTACCCAGCTGCCTATCAGCAGGGTATGTCCCCACCTCCCAAGCAATGGATCCCTGGCATGTTGCTCCTACCCCTAAGGGTAATCTCCAACCTYTTCCTTCTTTTCCCTTGTCACCTCCCCAGTGTCCCATCCTTCTGATACCTAGGAACTCTGAGTGGTAAGCGTGCGCATGGATGTCCAGAGTAAAGAGCCCGCCTGGAGGGGGTGGGCAGGGGATTCCCAGGATTTTAGGGGCTCTCATTCCYAAAGCAAACCCCAAAGGAGGACTGAGCCGCGGCCCAGGAAGCAGGAGCCCTTCCTTCGCGGCTGGACTCTACCACCTGGCGTGCCCTGGCSGGTCCCTCAAGACCCTGCCTCTTTTCTGGCTCAGTTTCCCAATTGTACCAGGAGCGGTGGACGCGGAACTGCGTAAGCGCGCGCTCTGCGTGGACGCGGCGCCGGCTCCCTCCCCCGGTGGGCGTGGGCGGGGGTTGCGGGCCGCCTCCACCCGCGGGCGGCCGGCCGGCTGGCGCCGACTCACCTGGCAATCTACCATCATCCTCAGCCTCCGCAGCTCATCGCCGGCCCCAGGGCGGGCCCGGGGCTCGCAGAGACCGTTCGCCTCGGCCCGCGCGCGGCGCAGGGGGGCGTCCGGCTGCGGGGCTCATGGCGCGGCCTCGCGTCCCCGCYGGGCCCCGGGCTCCGCGGCCGTCGCCGTCGCCGCCAGCGCTGCTCCCATTGTCTGCGCCTGCCGCGCTGCCGGCCGCTCGGGCCCCGCGCTCGGTTCCGCCCGGGCTCCCGGGGCTCGGRCCGGGTGGGCGGGGACAGCGGGGACAGCACGGCCCCGCCCCGGCCCCGCCCCGGCCGTCGCAGGTGCGAGGCGCGGCCCGCTCGCGAGCTCGGGGGCGCGCTCGGCCTCCCTGCGTCGGGCGCACGCGGCTGGACCCCGCGCTGCGCGTCCAGCCTGGCGTCCACTGCCCGGCGCGCACACGGGGCCTGCGCGGGACCGCGGGCGGCACGCGCACGTGACCCCGCCTYGCGCCGCGCACGCGTCACGCACCAAGTGCTCGGCTTGGCCGGTCTCACACGTCCTTCCGCCCTAGCCGCCTCCGCTGTTCCCCAACCCTCTGCGACCTAGGACCACTGTCACCGTCGCCAGGTGGGGACTGCTGAGCTGGGTGTCCCTGCAGAGCCTGCAGTCGCCAGTTATACACCCTCACCCTGTCAGGCGCGTACCCAGTGCCACCTGCTGGGTGGATGGCTGGTGTCAGGGGAACTTGAGGAGACCAGATTCAGGTCAGGTCAGGTAGCCCCCTCCTCTCCCATTCGCCCATCCTTTCCCTTCTGTGACACGACTAGATCCAGCCTGTCCCATAGGTGTAAGGGGGACAATTGGGAACCTGGGAGGAGGGGATCTGCAACTGGTGCTGGGCTGGTGTGGGTCTCACGTTACCAGGGAAACCTGGGGCCATAAGCACTCAAGGCCACTTAGCTCTGAGTGACCACACCAGCTGTGGGTCGGGGATTAGGAAGCAGTTCTCTTCTTCATCACTCATCCAGGACAGAGGCTCGTCTGGTCTGGTGACAGGGATGTCATGCAGGGGACCTCCTGGGTCCAGCCTCTTGGGCACCTTTGTCTCCCTGCTTTACTCCCAACACCCTCTTATGGGGGGCAGTCACTGGCTCATTTTGATCAAGGGAACTGAGGCTCTGAGAAGTCACTCCGGAGCCTATACAGGGCTGTGCAGGTCCAGTGTGGACCTCAGGGCAGCAGACCTCAAGGGTGAACTCCACATAGGAGCTGAGAAGGTGGCCTGTAGCCCAGTGTGAGTCCACCGTTGATGGGGACTTGAGGGGCAGGGCCTGGGGAGCCCCCCTGGGTGAGGAAAGCTTCAGGAAGGAACTTGGGGTGTGGGTGCCCTTGGGGACAACGTCTGGACCAGATGCACAGGATTCAATTTCAGACAGGGCTCACTGCAGATTAGGGGCCAGGGGACCCCATCCAGGCAGTTTCCTAGGAGCTGTGGCCTTGTAGAGCTTCAGGGGCTGAGTAGACACGTCACCCACCCAAGATGGACTCAGAGCACCTGTCTCAGTGCCCTCTTGCTAACTAGGGTGTCCCAGAGCTGGCAACACATGAAGGCAGCTGCCCAAGAAGGGTGGGTGCTCAGAGGCCTCCCAGCCATAATCTGATTTACTCCTGCCCCTTGGCTCAGAGAGGTGGAGTGACCTGCCCAGTATCCCACAGGCTCTAGGACAGAGCTCTAAACTAGTGTTCATTCCCCCCCCCCCCCCCGTCATGCATGCAGCAGACAGTCATGGAGCGCTTCCTGGGTGCTGGTTCCGGGGGAAACCCAGCTGGCCATGGCCCATCAGTGCCCTCTCRGAGCTTACTGCCTGGGAACAGGGTGGGAGGGGCACAATATCACTGAAAATGAWGACACAGGATGAGGAGGGTGAACGGGAAACAGAAAGGTGCCCACTCTGGAGGGGAGCACAGATCCAGGCCGGCTTCCCTGAGGAGGTGGTATCAGGAGCAGGTCCCAGGGAACTGGTCCAGTGGTGGGTTGTGGCCAGTGTGACCACAGGTGTGTGGGACAGGCCCTGTGGGGCAAACGACGATGTTGGACTGTATCTGATGTAATCCTGCAGGCCATGAAGGGGCTCAAGTCTAAGCTCGTGGGGCCTCTGGCCGTGGTCCTCAGATACTTGCAATGTCTATTTCTTGAAGTGCTTCCTCTGCAATTTAAAAAGCTTCAGAGCCCACAGAACCCCATGCTGCCTGCAAATCTGGCACCTGTAGTTAAAGGGAGCTTAGATCTGATCCTGCCAGGTGGGACGCTGTCCCTGGCCTCCTTATGCTGGCCCAGTCTCCACTCCTTTTGGGAGAGCAGCCAGGTCTGCAGACAGTTGGGTTCTGTCTCTCAGGTTGTGTCTGAGGGCCATGCTCAGGACCACGGTTGGCCAATGTGTCCAGGGGCTTGGGCCCAGGTTGAGAAGGCCCATAGCTAGGTCTGGCTGGGCACCACGGCTTGGCATGGACCCAGAGCAAGGCTGGCATAAGCTGGGAGCAGCGTCTCCCCTACAAGGCTGACCTGCCTAGGTCCCAGGTCCCCTCCTCATGAGGCCTTCCCCRTCTTCACATCCAGGAGCCACCTCCTGCTGCAGACAAGTGGCTTTTCACAGAGCTCTCCCAGCCCAGGCACGCTCCCTCTCAGGATGGAGAGGCCATGGTCCATTCTCGACCGGAAGAGCCAGGGCCTCTCCAGCCCATGCTGTGTTTCCACACTCGTGACTCCACCTGCCCACCATCTGGGATGTGTCCCTGCTTGCTGGCTAAACTACAGGTGATGTAGGAAGAGTGGGCTCAGGGGGCAGGTTACAGAGCATCTGACTGTTTTCGGATGACCACAGTGCACCCCACACCTACTCCATGTCTCCTCCATCCACAGAGAAGATGCTGCTGCCCCAGGGAAGTGGCCCTCAGCCCACACCCAGTCCATCTCTGCCTGGCTGGGCAGACAGATGGCTGTGGGCCTCAGGCCCCCCTGGGTTCATGCTGGATCAGTGCCCCAACAGGTTCTCTGCTCCTGACCTGCACCACTGCCCTGGAACCCCATGCCCACCAGTGGCTTCCAGGGCTGAGGTGACCCTGGATATAGGAGGGTGACAGACACATCCCTGTACTCAGGGACAAGAGCCCATGGGGTTCTCCTGCTGATCGACTCAGCCTGTCCCCGCCCATGCAGGGTTGCAGCAAACCTCTGAGGGCTCCCACATCTCCCTGGCTCCCCAGAGAAGGAGAATGAGCTCCTGCCAGTGGCAGCAGCCAGCTTTAGCCTGGATCTTCTGGAATAACTGTCCGCCTGGTGTATCCCCGGAGTCTGCRGAACAGTGTCAGGTAACTCTGGTTAGGGCCAAGCAATGTGCCCCCTTTATTGAAAACTATTACAGAGGCAGCGGCTACTCCGTGAGAGTGGCTCCCCAATGTCTGCAGGAACCCAGAGGGAGCCTAGACCAGGTCCATTTCCGAGGGTCCCAAATGAGGAACTGGCTGCCTATGGCTGAGGGGACATCATGATACCCAGGCAGCCAGAGAGAGGGGTCCATGTGCCTTTCACACAGTGGTGTTAAATTGCAATTTCAAGGGCCATATGCACCTTGGGGGACCTGGCAGGATTTCAGGCCCTCAAGGGGGCGRAGACACCAGGGCCTGCCTGTCAGAAGGTGCACCCCTGGATGAGGMAAGCTGCGGGCCCCATCTCTCTAACCGCTTCCTCTTCCCCTCCCACGATCCCTGTGCCAGACCACTGCACCATCAGGGGTGCGCCTCCCTCACCCCTTTCCCAGCTGGAATCTCCTGGTAGCTGGAGGTAGGCAGGACAGGCCTGCTTCCCATCTAAAGCTTGGACAGGGGCAGGTGGCTGCAGGGCTTTGGGTCCCCATTCATGGTGGCCCCAGCTCYGCTGTCAGCTCCTCAACCAGCTGGTATCCTTGTTGACTGTAGAAAAGCGGATCAGCTTTAGGCTGGGCGGCTGGGGCTTCCTGTCATCCCAGAGGTACTCCGGGGACAGCACCTTGGATGGCTTGTGTGAGATAAAGTGGCGGTTCAGGTGGCTCTCCTCTTGCCAGATGGCCATGATGCCATTGGCTTTGTCTGYCAGGATGGCCATATGGCAGACCCTGGTAAATTCATATACACTGGCCACTCGCCCCCCAAAGACTGCCCCACCATAATAGAAGTCCCCCTCGCTGTCGGCCACAAAGGCAGTGGAGGCTCTCCTCCGCTCGTAGGGGAACTGCTGGCGGGAGGCARTGAAGTAGCCAGGGTGAATGGCAGCCACAAGGTCCCCCAAGGTCTCAGGACCCCACAGGTTCCTGAACACCATGTCTACATCAAGGCAGAAGAGGTAGTCTACCTCCCGGTGTGCGCTCTTGGCTATGTGCAGGCTGATGRTCTCCATGCGGCGTGTGGAAATCTCCTCCCAGTGAGAGTGGCGCCTGACGGGGATGATGCTGAGCAGCCGGCCAGCRCCCAGCGGGACCCTGGGAATGGCTGCAGGGTCGTGGGTGAAGATGTAGTAGTGCACGCGGTAGCCACGCATGAAGAACTCCTCGGCCGAGTCCAGGAAGTGCTGGACAAAGCGGGTGTACCTGGTGGCGACAATCCTGCCATCCACTGCTGCCCTTCAGGGCCACTGCCTGGTCCCCACCATGTGCTGGCATCATGCGGGCCACAGGTTTTGGGCTGTCAGGCCGGGGTCCACTTGCTGGCTGCCTCCCTCCCGCCGTCACTCAGGTGACCCTGGGCTCTCGTCTGTCAAGTGCCCACAATCCTACTTCAGCTGAGCATTCCCCACCTGAAAGCCYGCCTGCAGAGTCTTATTTTTTAATTTTTTTTTTTTTTTTTTGGTACTGGAGATGAAACCCAGGGTGCTTTACTACTGAGCCGCATCCCCAGCCCTTTTTATTTTTTACTTTGATACCGGGTCTTGCTAAATTGCTGTGAGCCTTGCTGTTTGAACTCTTGATCCTCCTGCCTCAGCCTCCTGAGCCACTGGGATCACAGGCAGGTGCCACCGTGACTGGTTAAACACACTGTCTTTCATTGTGCACTTACTATAAGTGCCAATGTTCTCGGAGAGTCTCGTGATGTTCTCATAGATGCCTACAGGAATGCCCATCTTATAGGCAGCACCACTGAGGCTAAGCTGGAAGAAAGGAGCYGAGAAGCAAGTAGATGGCAGAGGGAAGGGAACGTGGGTGGTGGATGCTGGGTACCAGGAGCGGGCATGGGTGGCCTGACCCCGCAGGGGCCATTCATCATCTGGTCTGTGCCTTAGACCTCRGGCCCCATCGGGGTCCCAGTGGTAGCTCCTGAAGGAAGGGACAGGTAGAGTCAAGAAGAGGAGAGCGGGCAGGGCTGAGGCCAGGACAGGGAGGCTGGCGCCTCCTGCTGCTCCACCTGGGCTGTTCCACCTCACCTTCCATGCCAGGCCCCGCCTTGCCCCAGCAAGCCCACCCCRTCACCATTCGCCCTGCACCTTCCTGGGCCTGGCACCTGTGCCCTACAGGGCCTGCCTTCCCCTGCACTGGGAGCTCCYGGGGCTCAGGGAGACCCGCCCGCCCACTCACCCCCCACTCACTTCCCCACGGCAAACACGGTGACTCCGATGGTCAGGTTCAGCGGCTGGTAGATGAGCTGCAGCAACTCTGGGTTGAAGGTTCCCTCGGAGACAATGGGCGCCAACCAGGGCGTGAGTGTCAGCAGCTCCGTGGGCCTGGTGGCAGGGGAGGTGCCAGTGCTGAGGGCCTCCCTGGGTGGAAGCCTTGGCCACGTCCTGACCMGCCTCTTGTGCTGTGTTACCGGGGGCAACCCCGTGCCTGCCTCTGGGTCTCGGGTTCCCCATGTGGAAAGTGGGGTGGCACCAGCTACCTCACAGCAGGACAGGGAGGACYGGAGCTGACACCAGCGTGGGGCACGTCTAGAGGAGCCAGGTGAGACCCCGTGGGCTGGTATCATCTGCTCCTCCAGCCTCCTGTGGGGCAGGTGCTACTGTGATCCCCTGCACAGGAGAAGCTCTGCRCCATGGGCTAACCTGCCCGAGGCCATGCAGCCAGTGACAGGACTGGGTCCCAGGCCACCCAGACATGAGCACCTCCACCAACTTACAAATCAGTGCTGTCACCCACCCCCGCCGATGCCAGGTCTCTCTSTGCCTCCTACCTCTGCTCCAGCAGCTTGGGCTGAGGGTACAGAGGCCTGCAACCAAGAAGGGCCAGTGTGAGAGGAGGCAGCCCCCCTGGGGCGGGAAGGGGAAATGACAATCTCTTACTGTGCCACAGGCTGGAGGGGCTCCTCCCCCTTGTGCTGCAGCTGCAGGTTGCTGTGCAGAGGTGAGAGAGAGAGAGAGAGAACACGCAGTTAGTTCCTGGCAGGAGGGGGACCGCCTGGGCTGGGCCGACTCCTGCTGACCTCGGGTGCGGCCTGCCCAGGGCCAGAGGGAGCAAGCACTAAATTGCCTAGTCTGGCCTCACGCTTGCTGTCCTCCTGCCCTAGCCTCCATAGTAGCTGGGATTATGGACATGCACCACTACCTCCAGCTCTCAGTTGGTTTTATATAAAGGAATTCGCCCTAGGTAACCCGGTGGGCCTAGTCACGTTAGTCGAAGGATCGCAAGGACATAACTGAGGAAAAAGATGTGTGGCCTTGGACCGCAGGGTTGGCTCCTGCCAGTGAGTCCAGCCTGCCGGGAGGCCCTCGCCAGCACAGGTGCCCATTCTGGGTCTCCGTGGCTGGCTGGCTCATTTCTCCCTGGCTGCGACTGGCACCTTTCCTCATCTGTGGAACAGGAGCCATCCTGACCCAAGTGGCTGTGTGAACAGGAGCCAGCCATCCAACAGGAGGAAGGACGTGCCCAGCATTGGCCAGCACTGAGAGGGCAGTTGTCCTGGCCACTTCAGTGTCCACTAGCTCCAACAAAGGTCACACTGAGTGCAGAAGTAACAGGAGGTGGCAGGGCTGCAGRCCAGGCCCTGGGCTTGGTGCCAACAGACTGAGGGGCCTGGGCCAGACCCTGACTCCAMCGGCTCCTGTCCCTCCTCTGCCTGCCACAGGGAGTGGGCTAAGGCTCAGAGAGGTTAGAGGCCTGCCCAAGGCTGCCCAGCAAGCAGTGGTGGTAGAACCGGCTCCAGGAGGCGGTCCCAAGGGTCAGGGACCAGAGACGGGTCACGTAAGAGGATGGCTGCAGCCTTCTTGAGTTCTCCCACCCCTAGTCTGGGGCTTCCTTTCATGTGGCAAAACATACGAACGTGAGATCTGCCATTTTAACCATTCTTAAGCATACAGTTCAGTGGCACTAAGCACGCCCATGTCGTGGTGCCACCCAAAGGCACTTGGTCCCCAGTGCAGCGGTGTTGAGAGGGGGGCTCTCGGGAGGGGACGGGATCCTGCAGGCTTGACCTCTCCGTGGATGAGTCCCTCGGTAGATTCGTGGCTCATGGTGTTAGTGGCAGGTGGTAGAAACCGGCAGGTGGGCCCAGTGGAGGGAAAGTCCCTGGTGTGCCCTGGAGGGGCATTTCTTGTCCCCACCGTCTCTGTTCTCTCTGCTCACTGGCTCCCGTGAAGCGAGCACCTCTGGTCTGCCACGTCCTTCTGCCATGAGGTCCTGCCACACCACAGGCCCAGAGACAGTGCGGCCATCAACCATGGACCAAAACCTCTGAACCCTGAAGCCAGAATAAAGGCTCTTCCTTTGAGGACTTTCCTCGGGTACTTTTGTCCCAGCAACAAAAAGCCGACAGATACGACTGCTCTGTGTGTCTAGAATGTTCCCTTCACCCCAGASAGAAACGTGGCACCTGTTAACAGTAGCTCCCTATGGCCCTGTCCCCAGGAAAGGACCACCRTGTCACTAGTGACTGTTGTCTAACTCTGCTTCCTGAATCCGACTACCACAGGGACCTCTTTTAGGTGGACCCACAGTCCTCGTCCTTTTGTGATTGGTCTCTACCTGTTATTTCTTTGGTCGTGGGGATGAACCCAGGAGCACCCTACCATTGAGCTACAGCCCCAGCACTTTTAAAATTTCATTTTGARACAGGGTCTTGCCAGGTTGCTGGCGACCAAAACACTCCAAGGGATCTGGGCYGTGCGAAATAACCACACCAGAGACAGAAATACGTTTTTCTTTGGGGGGTCCTGTGATGGCTCCTCTGACCTTAAGGGTCCGCAGAGAGAGAGAAAAAAAGAGAGAGAGAGCGAGAGCCTGCGCGCAAGAGCATGAGAGCGAACGCGCTGAGCCCTTTTATTGAGGAGAAGCTATTCAAATGAGGCCAGGGGTCAGGTTTCAGGGGGCTGAGTCTATCTTCATGATGTCCACTAGCAGGTTGACTGACATGTAGAAGGACTACACCCAAGGACAGAGTAAGAGAAGGGGACACATAAAAGGCGTCTCCATGGAACATTCTATCCTAACAGGGCAAGGGGTAATATTACAAAGGAACAGGGGAGCACAGCTCCACACATGGGGAGGTAGGAAGGCACGCCCATGCACGAAGACACTGTCACGTGAACCCTAAAGATCGGGGTTATCGTCTGGGTTCCCTAGGCAACCAGATCACAGAGTGACYGACAATGCCACATCACTCAGAAGGGGAGACGGACACAGTCACGTGCTAGTCGGCCTCCCACACGGTCTCACTTAGTTGCCCAGGCTGGCCTCAATCTTGGGATCCTCCTGCCTCAGCCTCCTGAAGAGCTGGCAATCTAGGCGTGTGGCACTGTGTCCAGCTGAGTCTCTCTTCTTGAACTGATGAATTTTCAAATTCAGCTCACCTATTTGGACCTCTGCCCTCGTTTCTTACAACAGCACTTCAGGTCTCTTCTCTCCACAAGTACCAATAGGCACCAGCCACACTGCAGCCTCAGACCCAGGAACATAAAAGCTGGGTCTGGGGGTGCCGCTCAGTGGCAGGGCATCTGCTTGGCATGAGTGAGGCCCTGGGTTCCACCACCCAGCACCAAAACCAAAAAACCCCAAACACTTCATATTTCTAAGCCTCTGAAGGTAGTAAATGGAAAGTAAAGGAATCCAAAGGAAGAAAGAACTGAAACAGACACAGGTTTTCRGTCTGTCACAGAAGCATCCAACAGAACCCAGAGGCACCCCGGAAGAAAGAAGGGGCAGCCGCCCTCCGYGCCAAGGCTGAGGTGGCGCACGACAGCCGCGACCAGGACAGACCAGGACAGAAGAGGAAATGCAAGTGACGCCCGCCATGGGGGGGCCTTGTGGGTGGTCAGGGGAGTGGAGCTTAGACCAGAGAGGGCATGGCCACCTCCGGAATCAGCATGGTGGCTCTCTTTTTCTCCCCAGCACTAGCGGGGGTGTGCTAGAGGGTGGGCTCCCTGGACAGGCAGGGTGGGGGCAGGACGGGTGGGTGGGTGGGTGGTGGCTCGCCTTTTGTCTTTTCTGTTTCCCAGCTTCAGTTGCTAGGGCTGGACACTGTGTGAGTGTGGAAGTGTGACCCCTGTTGAGAGGCAGGAAGAGGCTGGACACTGAGCCCACCATGGCGTTCAGCAGTGGGCCTCAGGGAGGCCATCAGGGTTGCTTAAGGTGACCAGGGTGAGGCTCCGCGAGTGCATCTGCTGGCTTTACAAGGGGGCGAGAGACCAAGAGGTGCACGTGCACCCCGTCTCTCGCCACGGTCCTCTGGTGCTGTCTGGGAACTCTGTCCACAGGAAGGCTGCTGCTGGGAGTCTCCCTGAGAACTCCCGGGGCCTTTCAAACATGGCGGCGGGCAAATTGCCAGTGGGCGGCTAGAACTCCCTGGGCCTTTCAGATAAGGAGCCCCTAATGCAACCTGGMGGCAGGCAAGTTGCCAGTGGGCGGATAACAAGTTGTATTGAAAACCTTCTAATTGGCCCTCCCWTCTTCCGTGATCGTGGACAGCTCGTGCCCCCCATGAATCTCATGCAGGGTGGACGTGCGTGCACCGTAGGTGATGATCTGACCTCTACTATGATTGGCCCCGGGAGCTTCCTGGTTTAAGATAACTGACTCTCACTTTCTATATAAGCTAGCACCAGCTTGCAGTCAAGTGCTTCATCTTTGTCACTGCTGTCTGTGTGTGTGTTTTAATCTCTGACGAACCTTGGCCTTCCAGCTGTGACCTGATGCAGCCCTTTGCCCTTGGACTAGAACCTTGAGCCAACAGAAGCCTCTTCTTTTTAACTGGCCAGCCTGTGGAGGTGTGTAATTAGCAACAGAAGTGACCATGGACCACGGCCCTAATTTACTACAGTCTCTGTTTATAACAGTGCAACCTGCCTGGCTGCTCACTGGCTGACCATCCAGATGTGTGACTCCCTGTGGCTGTGGAGTCAAAAGCCCCCAGGGCCCAGATGCCCCTTTGAGTTGTCCCAACTCTTTTGTTCACTCTTAGCTGTTAAAAAGGCAGAGTCGCCAAATGAGGAAGGTGTTAGTCAAATGTCAGTTTGTTCCTGAAGTCCACATGGAACACATTGAGTGAAAGGCCGTGTCCTGAGAGCACTGTCTACTGGCCACCTGCTCTGCACCAGGGCAACCCCAGGCTACGTAAGTCACCACATCCAGGTTCTGTGTGGCCCAGGAGGGGACCCTCWCCCATCCCATTTTAGAGCTGTGCAGCCTATATAAGGCCAAAGCACACAGGGCACAAAGATGCGCCAACTCAAGTGGCCATCTCGTGCCACATCTGTGGCAGCCCGTACATCCCTAGACCCCACAGCAGTTCAGCAGAACACAAGCTTAGGACCCAGGAACTGCAGACAACATGCCCYTAAAATCACTTGTGTCTCTTGAAATGTGAGCAGCCCCCAGGGGCCCCAATTCTCACAGCCCCATACTTACAAGATCTCTGGGCAGGGGAGGTAGTAGGGCACATAGGAGACGGGCGGCCAGTTCCTGACATAGGCCCTGGGAAGGAAAGACACCTGTTGACCCAGGCTGACACCCACGTGGTGCACGTTACTGGAAGTGAAGAACACCAGTGGTGCATTTGGGGGATCCCCTGTCATTCTAGAGCCTGGTGGTCTTTAGGACAAGGTCTCCTGGAATTCCCTGTGGACACCAAAGGGCCCTGATGTAGCTATTTGCTCACCCAYAGCAATTTATTCCTGGGGCATGCATGGGCTTGACCAGTTGCCCACAAAGCAGTGGGGTGAGGCGCAGCTTCACCAGCTTCTCAGAAGGGTATACTGGGGGTGAACTTGGGAGCATGAACAGGAGCTGCTCACCGACACAGGTAGAAGGATGGTCTAGGCAGAGCAGACTTCAGGACAAAGGTGGGAGGACGGTACAAGGCAAAATTCAGAAGCTGAAACTAATTAGGTCTGGCTGGGGCTGGGGCTGGGCCTGGGGGAGAGGTGCCAGAAGAGGTTGGTGGAACCTGGAAGACCTTAAGGTGGTCAAAATTTGGGGTTGAGGTGCAGAGGCAGGGAGGGTGGGGGTCCATGGGACAACTTACCACAGGGCCCAGAGGCTTGGTCCGGCCAGCAGGCAGAGCCCCAGGCCCAGGGCTGGTCTCCAGCGGAGCATGGCTGAGTGCTGCACCAGAGCCTGGCCACTTTCAGAGACCAATGGCTCCTTGGCCAAACAGTCCCTTTCCTCCCAGGGCAGGCAGGCTCTGAGCCTGCCTCTTGGCGGTCCTGAGATGCTGAGGTTCCCCAAAACACCTGCAAAGGAATGCTGTTTATTCCAGGGCAGGGCACCCACTTCTGCACCTCTCTCTCTGTGACGTCCTTCCCAGCAATGCAGATCCTAGGCCTCTCCTCGCTGAGGCGGAGCTTCCAGGCAGAGGCGGACAGGTGGCTGGGGCAGCTCTGGTGTCTCTCTTTCTCCCTCCGGCCTAGAAGAACAGAGGCCTGTCCTCCCAGGGGCTGGGACGCTGAGGCGGAGCTTAGAGGATTCTCTGCRGAAACAACAACTGGAACCAAGCCCAGCGCCAGAATGGCAGGAACACACCTAGTCCCCTGGGGTGCGCGGCAGGCAGCTGGAAAATTTCTGGGGAAGGAATTTCCTTCGGGAGGAGCKGGGCGACTAGGTTTTCCAGGGGACCACTGGGAGGCCCTTCCGCCCTCACTGGCTTGGTGACCTGGACAGCCTCAGGGTTCTGGCTAAAGGGGTTGGGAACAGCACGCACCACCGGTGGGCATGTGCGGGAATGGCTGTAAAGCGCTCCGCTGCGGTGGATCAAGGTCAGACATCCCGGGGTCAGGGTTCTGGGGTTTTGGCCTCTGCTCACTTGAGGGTCTCTGGCAATCCTGCTCCCCCTCTTTCGCTCTGGGGCCTCCGTTTCCCCACCTGGGCTTCAGCACGCAGCATCCTCCAAGCCCTCGCCTCCMCTGCTGGGCCCAGGACTCAGGGCCTCTCCTCTCGCCTGGAGTGCAGACCCCGGAGGCTGGGGCCGAGGCGCGCACCTGCATGTCTGCCGGCCAGAAGGGCTCAGGGTTCGGACTTCCCTCCGCTCACAGTAGGGTAGGGCAGGTGGGAGCGCAACTGTCCCGGAGGAGTGCAGACTCACTCCTTGAGGCCGCGCCAGTTGTAGGATGGACGCAGGGACGTACCTCTGTCCGGAACCAAGGAGTCGGCTCCGTGCACTTAGCAGCGCGCAAGCCGGGTGCGCRGTCTCTGGCCTGGGGTGGTCTCTGGGCTGGGGCGGATAGGTCCCTGGGGTGGAAGCAGCGCGCCCCGCCCTCCAAACGGCAGCAGGCGGGTCGCCCTGACTCCACCCCCGCGCCCCGCCCCCAGGGTGTCAAGCAGATGTCTCTACAATCTCAGGTGAGACTTAGACATTGATTTTTGCCTGAGGGTGGGCAGCAACAACCGACCTCAGCTCTCAACCCATGTGCCCAGGGCTCTGGYTCCAATTTTCTAAGTGACCTTGGGCAAAACCTCAGTTTCCCTACCACKAAAGGAGATGACAGGTACCTTCAGTGCTGGTCAAGCACTTGCTCCTGGAGCCCTGGTTGTGGGTGGGGAGTGCGCAGGTTCACAGCCCACAGGCCCSGCAGCAGAACCCAGCTGGGAGAGGCGGGGTCCGCAGGCTTTGAAGCTGGAGGGGGCCACATCCTGAAATGGCTGAAGGACAGCCTCTCTCCTCCTAAGGACAAGGACAGGAGACGGTGATTTGGATGTCATCGCTCACCTWCCAAACTGCAGCAACTTGCCCCCAACACCCTAGAATCAGAATCCCTTGCGCTGGCCAAGGGGAATGGACACTCCCCAGTGGTAGCAGCCAGTCTGGACTGTCCKCCAGTGGTGGATGGTGGCTCAGGCGTGGGACCCACATCCTTCCCTTTGATCCARGTTTGTCTGCTTCTAAATCCAGAGGGAGGATGGAGATGTGACCAGAGCTCAGGGCGTGGAGCTCACATGCCTCAGAGCCCTGCATGGGACGCTGCCAGAGTCCAGCAGGGGGACTTCTCTTCCCTAGCACAGCCAGAGCTCTGAAGCCATTTAAAATGATGGTTGGGGCTGGGGATGTGGCTCAAGCGGTAGCGCGCTCGCCTGGCATGTGTGTGGCCCGGGTTCGATCCTCAGCACCACATACCAACAAAGATGTTGTGTCCGCCGAAAACTAAAAAAAAAAAAATAAATATTAAAATTCTCTCTCTCTCTCTCTCTCTCTCTCTCTCTCTCTCTCTCTCTCTCTCTCTCATTTCTCTCTTAAAAAAAAATAAAATAAAATGATGGTGTCTAATGAAGCCCCCAGACTGCCATCAACGCCCCTGAGAGGGCCATGAACCGTGTTAGTGGGGTAGGCTAGGATTTTAAGTAAAATAAACCTTAGAGAGAGGCTTCCCAGGCAGGGCCTGTGTGTGAATGGTGTCCCAGAGGGGGAGGAGAGGGGGCTGGAAGAAAGGGACAGACCAGRGGACACTGGCCAGAGGTTTCTGGTATGCCAGTGTCAGAGATGGAAGCMGAGACAGCCCAGACACCGGTGCAGGTGGCTCTGGACCTCTGACACCCCTGCTGAGCACTCCCTGTTCCTGGGGGTGGGGGGCCTTACACCTCAGGGTCAGAGGACTGGCCCAAATCCCAKGTTTGTTACCGCTTACTGTCCAGGAGGAGTCTTTGCACCCCATTTCCCACTCAGCTGGGAAAGCTGTAGTGCCACCTCAGAGCCCCTCTGCAGATRGATCACCCCCAGTGCACACTGGTGACAGCCCGTGGACAACTGTACCCTGGTCCCCAGGCTGGCTGTGCCAGGCAGTCACCTCACCCTGTCTGCTGCTCTGTAGGTGGCCAGGCTCTAGGGGCGCCTCTCAGGCCTAATGCCCTCCTGGCTGAGCTGGCAGAGGGTGGGCAGCCCCTGGCTGTGTAGGGGGTTTCTATACAAAGTCTCTGGAACYTTCTCCAGGCCCCGCCTCCACAGAGGTGGGGGTGGAGCCATGGCTGCACCACTCTGGCTGAGCGTCCTGGAGACATCCGTCTCTCCCTCCCCTTTGGGTTCCTGGTTCGCACTCGCACATGGGGCCCCAGTCCTGGCCACCTCCTCCCAAGCAGGGTGGGGTCTCCTACATGGAGAGCCTGCTTCAAGCTGAAGGTTCTGTGCAYGTGGAGCTGCTGCTTTCAGAAGAGAGGGTGGCAAGCAAGGTCCAGCAAAGGGTCCTACCTCGATCAGGGACACCTGGGGTGACCATGCTGCTGATGACATGGACATGTCTCTTTGGCCCGCCTGAGCCCACTGTGGAGCCTGTTCCCCAGAACACCATATCCTTCCTCTCTCCCTGGATTCTCCGGGCCCCCTGGGAGCTTCTTCTGCAGATCAGCGATGCGGCCACCAGTGTGAGGGTATCAAAGCCCTGGGACAACAATCCACCTGTGGGGACAGAGCTCACCCAGGTGATGAGTCTCCAGAGAAGCTGAGGCTGGATGTCCACCCAGGACTTGTTTACCCGGGGCCCCCACTGTGGCCCCTGCTCTGCCTCCTTCCATAGCCTGGCTCAGGCTTCCCAGAGTCATCAGCCACTGAGTTCTCATGTGCTGGCTGGACCACTTGAGCAGSTTGTCTTGACCTTCTGGACCTGAGTATCCTCATGTGCAAATGGGGCAACAGGTCCATCTTAAAGGGGACCTTTGCATGTGATCACACAAAGGCATGCAAGGTCAAAGTGCAGATTGTTCACAGGTAAGAGGCAAACTGCAGGAAGAAGCAGGAGTTGGTGAGGTTGGGGAAGGGTGGAGAGCCGCCTGTCAGGCATTACACATGGACACAGGCAGAGACACCCGGCACAGCCGTACCCAAGAATATGTACTCTCACAGACACACCCACAWGTGTCACACACACACGCCCATACACGGGCACAGGAGGAAGATGCTGCGGTCACATTTTGGTCAGGTCTGGGAGCAGAGGACAAGTGAGGGGTGYGGTCCAGAGAGGAGCATGGCCTGTYGGGGGCCTGTCCCTGAGCCTGGAGCAGGAAGGCCCTGCCTGGGGGAGGTGGGCTTGGAGGCCTTCCAGAGGCCGGGCCAGCAGGCTGATGGGGCAGGAGCGGGGGCAGGGGAGAGAGCCAGCCAGGTCTCCAGGGTGCTCAGGGGTGCAGGGAGGAGACGGGGTGCTGGAGGGAAACAGCACCTTGGCGCCCAGGGGCCGGGGCTGCGGGCGCCATCRCRTAGCCAGGGAGGTGTTTGGGGGGGCTGGATGCTGAGCCTRGAGTTAGGGTGGGACAATGGGGGGTTCAGAAACTGTTTTTGGTGGGAACTGAGGCCTGGGCCTGGGCRGAGGCCCCGCAGAGCACATCAGGACCAGGGCTGGCCAGGCTCCCAGGGAGGGAGGGCCCAGGAGCCGTCTGCCACCCCCTGGCTCCAATTCCCGGTGACCACTTCCCTCTGATAACATTCTCCTCTGGACAGCCTTCCTCAGAATGGGTCACGTGAGTCAGTCACACTGGCTAATCACACAGATTAGCTCCATGCTGACCTTTCACCTCCATCCAAGCAAAACAGYGCCCTGGCCCTGTGGCCCAGGAGCCTCAGAGCAGGTGGGGCGGCAGGGTCCTGCCTCCTGGGCGGCCTGGCAGGACAAATGGCGGCTGGGAGCAGGAGCACAGAGGTGACCTGGGGACCATGCGGCTGCTCCTGCTGACGGTGGGGCTGAGCCTGCTCTCGGTGGCRCGAGCCCAGAAGTTTCTGCTGACTCCTGCTAGCTCACAGGAGGTGATAGCCCTGGGGAGGGCTGGGGTGGGACCTGGAGTCCCAGGTCAGGCCTCTGCACTGGTGCACTATGGGAACCCCAGGTGTACCTTTGTAGTGCCCTGTCCTGTGTCCTTGGTGACTTCCTCTGGCACAGGAGGGGTGCTGAGGAGAGCAGGGTGCCTTCCTGCCTTCTGTGAGGTCCCCCAGAGTCTGAGGGGCCGTGGGGTGAGGCCTCTCCAAACTGTCGGTGGGCTGAGTCTTGCCAGCCCCGCTGCCCAGAGATTTACTTCCTCCCTTGTCAGCTTCTGGGCKTCCGAGAAGCTTCTGGTTCTGCAGCTAGGATTCCATTCAGTGTTTTGTCTCCCAGTGAAAGGCTCAGGGTGACCCTCTGTATCACCATGGATTGTCCAGGAACTTCTGATTTTAAAAAAAATTCTGGTTTGTTTTAGGACAAGACTTAGAGCCCTGGAGATGCCACACACCAGCCCAGGCCCACCTCTGGTGGACAAAGGTGCCGGGTGGCTGCCTCCTTATCCTGGTGTCCTTGACCAGGGAGCTAAACTGACCAAGTCCAAAACAGACCCTGGGGTCAAGGGTGGCATCCAAGAGTCCCTGCTCACTTTAGCAAGGAGTCAAACTCCTGGGTCCATACAGCTGGCCCCCAGAGCCTCCCCATGGTTCCCTCAAGTCTTCCTGTCCCCTCTCAGGGACTGGACAGCTGCTGGTCATTCTGTCCAACCCAGCTCCCTTCCATGCCCCTTCCACACCCAACCCCTGGTCTGGATCTTCTCGGMACCCCTGCAAAGGCCCCAGGGTCAGCCACTCCAGGCCTTCCCCCTGGCCTGAGGCCCTGGGTGAAGGAGACTGATGAGGTCAAGGGCGGGTGGGACCCAGAGCCAGAAGGAGGCAGGAGCCAGTGCTGAGGCTGCTGGGGTCAAATGCTCAGGACCCGTCACTGTCAGGTGCCTGTCTCCCAAGTTCAGACTGACTGCCCTTGGTCTCTGGAGGACTTGGGTGAGTCAGTCCTTGGAGGAGCGGGTGCCAGCAAGGGAAGGAAGCAGAGACCAGTGCTGTGGTCTGGTCACCCTGCAGCAGTGACCGTGGTTATCAGAGTAGCCATGCTTAGTTGATGCAGGATCAACAGGTCCCCTGTGACTCTCCTGAGCTCTGTCCACTCTGTCCCTTGCCTTGTTCTCCTACCTCGTCTCTCTAATAATGAAGTTCCTCTAGTCCTTTAGGTGACTTTCTGGGCCCCTCTGGGTGGCCTGTGCATGGCCCCGGGTCAGAGGCCCTCCCAGGAGGTGTGTTGCCCTGGAGGGCCCTGCCCCAGCCTGCCTGGCTCRGCCTCCTGCTGATGGAAGGGGATGTCCTGACCAGGCCTCCTCTGGCTCCTGGAGTGCCTCAGGCCTCAGCCTGCAGAGACCCCAAACCATCCCTCCTGCCTCTGCCCCCAGGTCAGCCCCACCTGGACCCCTTTCCCTGGCTCCCCTGCCCCTACAGCCTGCTCAGAGCTGGCTCCCCTCCCCCAGCTCCTGGAAGACTGGCACATCGTGCGCTGGGCAGGAGACTTGCCTATTCCCGAGGAGAGGAAGACCCACCCGCTGCCTCCCTTCAAGTTGGTCAGAAACAAGCTCAACAAGCTGGAGTTCAGGATGAACCTCATGTGAGTGCCCTGCAGGTGGCCCCTTCATCTACCCCGCCCCTGCCCCCAGTCCCTGATCTCAACCGGTCCCTTGAGKGGCAAAATAGCCTCCTCTTGGGTGATCTCGGGAACCTGCCAGGCGCCCTTGGTAACCAGGGCAAYGACACTCATGGGGACTCTGAGCTGAGCACAGGACTCCACTTGCCCACTTGCTGGTGCGTCTCTGAGGTGCTCCTGTGACCCCAGCTCTCCAGCACAGCGTGACTTGCTCCTGGAGAAACCAGGTGTGGGCACAGAGCACTCTTCTGCACAGAGACGGCCTCTGCCTCCTTTGGGATCTGCTCTGGGGTCGTGCAGTCAGTAAAGAGCCAAGGCTCCAGGACCAGGACTCTCCTCTGGAAGATGTGTTTGGAGGAGCATTTGGGGACCCAGGGCAGGACCTGGCCTCCTTGGTGGGCAGAGGCCTGGGTCAGCGGGGCACCAGGCTGCCTGACCAGAGCGTGGGTTACGGCTCTGCTGCCTTCCAGGCTTCTCCAGCTGTGCCACCTGGAGCACACGGGGTGAGGGATGTGGGGTCCTTGGCAATCCATGTCCTGGGGGCTGGGGCCTGCTGGGACCTCCTGGCCTCGTCCCTGGACTAGGATAGGAACCTTCAGATGACTTCAGAGATCCAGCCTGGACCTGTGGGGTCTTCCTGGGATCTGTGTTCCTTCTGGGAGCTTGATCCTGACCAGCTGCAGCCACCCAAGGAGACCTACTTGCTTATAGAAGGGACCTTCTGAAGCCATTCCAGGCACTGGAGGTCCAGGCTCCAGGGGTCTCCTGGGGACTCTGGCCACAGAGTTGAAGAGCCCAGGCTGACTGTGGAGTGTTATGTGTCAGGAGGAGATGGGGGCTGGCCTCACCACTGGGGGCCCTGTGGGAGGCAGCAGGGAAGGAGGGGCAGGTGTCCAGGGGGAGAAGCGTGCTTGGATCTGTGTTCCAGGAAACCCATTGGATGCATTCAGTTCCAAATGATCCTGGATGTAGCCTCCCGGGGCACCTTTCAAACCGGTAAGTGGCCAGATGTGCATTCTTTCTTTCAGTAGGGTCTGCAGAAGGACACCTGAAGGCCAAGTGGCTTGTGTGGCCCACAGGTTGGAGGCACACCATCTCTGTCCACTTCTTGCCAGGGAAGGATCACGCCATTGCCTACTTCAAGGGCAAGATACAGCAAACCTACCAGATGACGATGCTCATGGGTGCGCTCCAGCCTCTCGACCGTGTGGAGTTGGGTGTGAACCTCCAGGGTGCCGGCAGGCAGGGTGCAATGCCTTCCAGTCCAGCTATCTGCAGTTCCCACCCGGGCAGCCATTTCTGGGACTCCTGGACTCTCGGTGGGAGAGGAGTTTGTAGATCTTGGCCTCTCATCCTCGGCTCTTACATCACAAATCCGCATGCCCATGTCGCTCTTGGGCCACCTGGCCCTGACCCCTTCCTTCCCTGCTCAGTCAGCTGGTCATGCTCTGACCAGGGGACCTGTTTGAAGGCCTGCTTGTCCCCAGAGACATTGAGCAACATCTGGAGATGTGTTACCCTGATGACAGCTGAGCTGAGGCCCTGGCATCCTGGGGTGGAGGCTGGAGCCCTGCTCCCCACCTTGCTGTGCAAGGATGCCCCCACAGCGAGGACCCCTCCCTAGAGGTCAGCTGTGCCCAGGTGGAGACCCTGTCCCTGGCCACTAACCCTTGGAGCCATCTCCACCCTGAGACTCACAGCTCTCTGCAGCCTTTCTAGTCTCCGCCAGAGTTCTCCAGAGCTTGGCCCCCAGTATCCTCCTGACAGAGCCGCAGTGGGCCCTTCCTGCTCTTGCCCATCAGCCCCTGCCTGTCCTGCCTGTCCTGTGTGTGCTGCAMCCACTGTCTGGTCTTCTCTGCCCACAGCCCCCTGGGAGGCTCTGGACCCATAAGGCCCCAGTGATGGCTATGTGGGAGCTCTGGCAACAGCAGGGAGACATGGACAGGGAGGCCTGCCCACTGGCCCCACTCTCTGATCATAAGCATGGACCTCAGGGGCCCTTGGTGTTACCCTGATGATGGCCRAGGCCCTTGGTGCTGCCCAGACCCTCCAGGTGCCCCCAGATCACTTCTAGATTGAATTTCACATGTCCCCCCATCTCCTGGTCCAGTGCAGRACATACCTCCACACCAAACAGGGTGCATGTGGAGTGTGGTCTTGGGCAGGATCTGAGCTGAGAACTGGAGAGGCTAAGAGCTCACAAATCGCTCTCTGCTGAGAGTCCCAGAGTCCTAGGAATGGCTTCCTGGGGTGGAAGCTGGGGGGAGATGGGCAGGAAGGCAGTGTGCCCTGTCCGTGCCCAGTGCCCCTGTGTGAGCAGGGTGCCTCGACAGAACTTGGGGTGATGTGCACATTGCTAGAGGGGCCCAGGGTGCAGCCTCTGAGACCAGGTCTGCAAGGAGAGGTTGGGGCCAGGGAGACTGGGCAGTGGGGGTGATGGGGGTCTGGAGGAGCTGAGCGCACACGGGGACAATCCTCAAGGATGGGCATCTCTGTGGGGCAGGGGCCTGACTCATGGAGACGGGACATTGACAGGTAGGCCCCACCCCTTCCCTCCTTCTGCTCCCCCTGGGGTCACACTCAGGGCTGTTTCTCCTGGAGTGACTGGGGTTTGGAGGGAMGGTGTCCCTGAGCCTAGGATGTGCCCATGCAGGGAATCTTCAYTGGTCCTCTGCTTGCCAGGGTTGGGGAGTGGCACCGCTTTCCTGTGGAAACCTGGGAGACAGGAATCCCCTGGGGCCCCTGAGCTCTGCCGGGAGCTCAGAGGTGTAAGTGTCTAGTCCCAAAGAAGAYGCAGAAGTGGTTGTGGCCTGGAGACGCCCCCTGGCTGGCTCTTTCCCGAGAGGTTGGTGCTGGGAGATTCCATCCCAGTCCCTGGAGCCCCTGGCACAGTGGGCTTGAGTCCTCTCAGTGGCTGGAACCCCCTGGGGGRACGACAGTATCTGGACTGGAGAGATAAGCCCCACCAGGATCCCAAGCTCCCTCTCCTTATGCCCCAGTGGACGGGGCACCACCTTCCACACCCACCTCCCTCCATCTGCCCTGCAGGCCGCACCCTGGAGAAAGACCCGGAGGCTCTGAGCATCTTTGAGAAGTTTGTGAAAGACAAAGGGCTGAACAAGATCACCGCCCCTCCCCACCTTGGTAACCAGGGGCCTCCTTTCTCCTCCCTCCACCTGTGATCTCCGTCACCAGCGGCTGGGCCTTTGGGTCTCCTTCCTCCTATTAGATGATGACCACCTGTTCCCATCCCTTGTGTCTCTCTGGGTCTGCAGAAGCCTGTGAGTTGCCCAGAGAGTCCTAGAGCAGGAGGGGGCTGCAGAGCACCCCGGAGGATGGAGCTGAGAACCCTGGCCACCCTTTCCCTCCCACAAGCAACTCCCTGTGGCAAGAAAGAGCAGGGCCCAGCCCACACCGCCTCACACCTCGTCCTAATAAAGCTGGACAATGGCCCCTGGCCACATGAGAAACCCCAGAGCTTGGTCAGCGTGATGAAATGAGGCTGGTGCGCCTACTGGTGGCAGTTATCCACCTAAGGACCCTGTTCTCCCGCAGAGACAGGGAGACAGTCCTCTGCCCCCTGAYGGTCACATTTCAAAGGAAAGGCTTTCAGGCCCCTAGGAGAGACCCTTTGGGGGCTGAGTCAGTGACCAGTCACAGCTGCAAGCCCTTTTCAGTAAATGCTCTAAGAAAGGAGGCCAGGGGTTGGCCAGAGAAAAGAGCGAATTCTCCTGGCAGCTGGAGGCTCTCAGGCAGGCACCTGAGCAGGGCTGGGGTCCCCAGGGCTGAGGCCTCATGCTGCGAGGATCCTTGCCACAGTGAGGTCATACCGTGCAGAGTTTGTAGGGAGTTGTCGAGAGTTCTGGGGTTGTCGTCGCACACATGTTGATTCAGCCTGATTCAACACTGTGGGTGTCGTACCCTAGAACCCATTCCTACCCCCCCCCCCCGCCTCAGCAGCAGGAGGCCACAAATGAACAGTCTGGTCTCAGGCAAGGCAGGAGATTTCAGGGGCATCCATGGGGGATCAAGACATTCTGCGTCAGGTTTTTGCTTTTGTTTTTCCCTGTGACCAAAATGCCTAACAAGAACAATTTAGAGGAGAAGTTTATTTGGGGCTCATAGTCAGAAGTCTYAGTCCATAGATGGCTGAGTCCACTGGGCCCAAGGAGAGGCAGCACATCATGGGGAAGGGCCCTGTGGASRAAGGCTGCTCRGCTCATGGCAGCCAGGGAGCAAGAGAGAGCAAGTCAGGGACAGAAGCAAAGTATGACTTCCCAGGTCCCCGYGACCTGCCTCCTCCAGTCATGCCTCAACCACCCAGTCACCACCCTGTTACTCCATTCAAACTAGAAAGGACTGACTAGGTCACAATTCTTACAATCCAATGAGTTTATCCCTGAACACTCCTGCATAAACACAGGAACCCTTGATCCAWACCATAACACCCTCACTGTCATCCCAATTCTGTGTGTCAACCTGTCCCCCTATTGACCTGGGACTTCACCAGGTTTGAATGCGACTCCCTAAGTAATTCTGAAGCCCCTGCTATTAAACTTGGGGTCTGCTGTCCTGTGGCTACGAAAGCCACATATAGTTTTAAGAATATGGTACAGCCTTTCTGTCCCCCGCCCCACCATTTTTTTAAAATTAGTGCTTTATAGTTTTCTCTCTTCTTTCTAAAGACTTTCTTTAGAAGTTTCTTTTCTCTACCTGAGCTCAAAACTTGACATTTCCTTCCAGAAATCCCCAGTACAGTCATATTTTAATAAGCTTTTTCAATGATGTGACCAAAAGACCTGACAATGACAATTTACAGGAGGAAAAATTGATTTGGGGCTCATGGTTTCAGAAGTCTCAGTCCATAGACAACCGTCTCCATTCCTTGGGGCCGGAGGTGAGGCTGGACATCACATCAGGAAGCAGAGACACTTCTCCTCTTACCAAGGACAAATATAGAGCCCAAAGGCACACCCCAGGAGCCCACCTCTCCCAGGCACACCCCACCTGCCTCCAGTTACCACTTAGTTAGTCCCTATCAGGATTAATGTGCTGATTATGTCAGGGTTCTCACAGCCCAATCATTTCAACTCTAAATATTCTTGCAGTCGCACACATGAGCTTTGGGAAACACCTCACATCTAAACCACAGTCAGAAGCAGTCTCTCCATCCCTGGTCCTTCTGGTTATTGTCTTTGTTTGCAGCCACATGTTGGTTCCTTTCCTAAAGCCTGGCTTCCCACAGGGACTGTCCCTGAGCAAGCTCAGCTCACACCTGGAGGCTCTGGGGGGTCACTTTGTGGCCTGCACCTCCCACATCCCATTTTCCATCTGCGAGATGCCCCTATGCTCTGCAAGTATAGGCATCGTCACCCTTGCACCGTGGTTGGCAAGAGTGGGGACCGCCTTTCACTGAGGAGCTAGAGGACAATCTGACTGCTCGGCCGCCTGAGCTGGCGGAGAGGGCAGTGGGGAGACCGCCCTCTGACGCCGTGGGGGGGGGGTGGCGGCCCTGCCCTCCCTCCTGTGCGCTGGGAGCCTGGGCGTGCTCCTCCTGCCCAATAATGACCAAACCCAAACCCAAACGTTCAGCTTTTGATGAGACAGGTCCATACTTGTGACTCCCATCCGTCTTCATGGGCTGAAATCAAGGGCTGCGGGGAGCTGGCAAGGGGGACTTGTCTGGGCTCACGGCTCCTCCTCTCTCTTCCCAGCCAGCAGTGCAGGTCTTTCCTCTTTTCTGCCCTCTTCTTTGATCCCCACATAATCCCTCGCGGTCCCTCCTCTCTCCCCTCCCTCTTCCCTTCCCCCCACTCTCACAGGGATCCCTGTGGCTGCTTTGGACTCACCCAGGTACCAGGAGAACGGCTCATCTCAGGACTCTCAACTGAACCACATCTGAAAAGTCCTTAAGAGGACACACATTCAAGGCTCTTGGGATGAGGACAGGACAGCTCCAGGGCCATTACGCATCCTACCTACCACATGGGAGATTGACAAGCAGTGGG